GGGTAAACAGGGAGGATCGGGTAAACAGGGAGGATTGGGTAAACAGGAAGCAGATGAGTCCAGTCCAGTCCAGATGTGAAATCTCTGCCTCTTAAGAAATGGACAGTTAAAGGGATAGCACTTGAAATGGAGAGATAGGACAGGAGAGAGTGCTGCACTGTCGGAGGGTAAGTGCTGAGTGAGTGCCGCACTGTCGTTGGGTCAGTGCTGAGGGAGTGCCACACTTTTGGAGGGTCAGTACTGAGGGAATGCCGCACTGTCAGAGGGTCAGTACTGAGGGAGCGCTTCACTGTCGGAGGGTCAATGCTGAGGGAGTGCCGCACTGTCGGAGGGTCAGTGCTGAGGGAGCGCCGCACTGTCGGAGGGTCAGTGCTGAGGGAGCGCCACACTGTCGGAGGGTCAGTGCTGAGGGAGCGCTGCACTGTCAGAGAGAGGGACAGGAACACAGATTGTTCAGCTCTGGCATCAGGAAAGGCAAGCAGAACCCTGGATTCCGGACATGAGGACTGAACAGAAAATGATGGAATTCCAGCACAAGCCTTTGCAGCACCCCAGGTTTCGCACTGCATCAGTTCAGGCCAGTGTTTTGGTGAAGGGATAGTTCAGAATTGGCAAAGGGAGGATACAGTGATATCGGAAAGACAGGAAGGGAATGAACATCAGCAGAGATACTATACCACCTGAGGGAGAGAGCTCACAGAAGAGGTCAACATTCAGAAAGACGGGACGGGGAAAACGAGATCCCACGGAAGAGAAGGTCAATGCCAAAGAGCAAGTAACTGGTGAGAATTATTGCAAGAATGCTTTTGCACAGGTCAATCTTCAGTTAGAAAAGGGGTCGGGACAAGTGGATAAAATTAGAGAGAATGGAACATCTATTAAACTGGAGATAAGGACCTGAGAAGCCACTTTGTAAAATGATCCACTAAAGGGCTGAGAAGAGATAGCAGCATGAGCACGATGGGTGGAATGGTCACAATGTATGCAATAAACTGGCAAACAGTGGAGGACATAGTATGAGTTATGGATACATTACCATGGTATGTTGAGCAGTGTTGTGCATCTGCACTCCATGATGAACATTGCTGGTCAGATGCTCCTTACTCTTGGAATGACAGGAGTCATATTCAGTGAGGGGAAACTCACTGCTCCCTGGTAAGGCAGACATCATGTCAGCAAAAAGTGATTGGAGAGAAAACACCTTTCAGCTTTTACTGACCCTCCGACAGTGTTACACTCCCTCAGTACTGACCCTCTGACAGTGTTACACTCCCTCAGCACTGACCCTCCGACAGTGCGGCGCTCCCTCAGTACTGACCCTCCGACTGTGTGACACTCCCTCAGCACTGACCCTATGACAGTGTTACACTCCCTCAGCACTGACCCTCCGACAGTGTGACACTCCTTCAGCACTGACCCTATGACAGTGTTACACTCCCTCAGTACTGACCCTCCGACAGTGCGGCACTCCTCAGCACTAAACCTCCAACAGTGCGGCACTCCCTCAGCACTAAACCTCCGACAGTGCGGCACTCCCTCAGCACTGACCCTCCGACAGTGCGGCGCTCCCTCAGCACTGACCCTCCGACAGTGTGGCGTTCCTCAGCACTGACCCTCCGACAGTTTGGTACTCCCTCAGTACTGACCCTCCGACAGTGCGGCACTCCCCCAGCACTGACCCTGTGATAGTGCGGCGCTCTCTCTATTGCATTGGTATTATGTGGAGTGTAAGGATGGTTACTATGAGGTTGAGGATGAGGCTGTAGGTGCTTAACATTGAGGTATGACTGATAGTTTTGAATTTTCTGTAATGCTTTTCTGGAAGTTAATGCCATCCTCTCCCCTCAGCCCCACTCTGCCTGCCCACCTTGTCTCCCATACCCTCAAACCCTTCTATCTCAGGCAAACCGTCCGCACCAACACGGTTACTCAGCCTCCAATCCCTGTAACCTCCCTC